TCAGGTTAAAAACAGGTATTATAGTATGTGTTTTTTGGAAGTCAAACCCAAAACATTTACTAAGAGTGTCTTTTGTTGAACGAAGAAATCCTATTGTTTCCAGTGCTGAGAAAATAAGGAGCCTGATCCAGGCAATCCAACATAAAAGGAAATTAAAACAGCAGGGACTCAAAAAGAACAAAGGATTAAGGTTTCTGATAATACCAATATATATTAAACACAATGTGTTACACATTTTTCTATCAATATCTGAGGAGATAACCTTACAAATTAGTACTACCTTGGCCAGAAGTATATAAAACCACAGCAGGTACTCATTAGGAGAGATTTTTTTATTTATACAATGATGGTGAATTTTATGTGTCTAATGTTTCCGAAGCTGGAAGAGATGAGCATTGTGAGCAAGCAGAATACAATGTATGAGGAGTAATTACGCCTGTGACCTAATGCCCCTTAAGGTCAAACTGTATTACAGGCCAGAAGAAATGAGGACCCATCAGCATTTACTTTAGAGAAGTCACCAACTGGAATGAAGGGCAAATGTGAGCATATTTCATAAACCAGCAGGTGCTTGACCTCATAAAAAAGTCAATTATCAAAATGCTACATGTAGAATGCCACAAGTAAGAAATAAATAAAAGTAGGTCCTGCAAAAAATCTTTAATTCAAAATAAATCCAGGCAACATTTATCTTTATCTACACTGTAACTTAAAAGTTTCAAAAAATGGTATTAATCCCTCTTTAGTAAAATTATTAGAATTCTATAAAAAAACACATTGGGACATAAAAGTGATAGCTCACACACAAATAAATGATGACTCAGAAAAGGTGCACAATATTTCTATAAGTCAATGTTGCAGAATGAATGCTGTATTTAGCATTAGGATAGGAAACATAGGGCAACTATCCTGAAATATCCTACCAAAGAGTTGGAAACAAGTATATTTTTGATATTTACAAAGGGTGAAACAATGATTCTTGACTTGGTCAAGACAAAACTACATCACCTGAAACAAAAGTCTCCTGCCATTCAGAAATTGAAGCCTTTGGGTTCTCATGAAAATCTGTGGCTATCAGTTAAGACAGACTGCTGATGCTTTTTCTTCCCCAGTGACTGCTAGTCTACTACCAGGATGCCTGGGAGATATAAATTTAAATGAATGCTGAGGCAGCAGGATAAGGAAAACAAAAGTACCACAACAAGCAGAGGGATAGAAAGGGCTGAGCTGCCCATGTTCATACCCTGTACCATGCAATATTCTGGGTACTCTGCCACGGGTTTCTACTAATGCTCTCCAGAGCCCCAAGAAAAGCATATGGCCTTGGCCCATCATGTCCTTTCTTGTCACACAAACCCATAAAAAGCGTTTTGTTAGGCTATTATACACCATATCTACATAAAACACAGAGGGTATTATAAACATGGCCGATTGGCACGGTTTTATTCTCAGCCCAATCCCTTTCTGACAGCGAACTTAGCAGAAGCTGCTAGCTACTTAACTTGGATCTAAAAGATAAAAGGTTATCACGATCCAAGAGCTCTCCAAGAAGAACCTCTTCTGGATTTCAGGAAAATAATTAATAAATGTACTCTTCTGCAAAAAGCAGGTATAACTTAGGCACTTCCAGTATCACTCGTGAAATTACTGCATATCTTTAAATATGTAGAGCGGTTAAATTATAAGACAATTGCTGGTGAGGGGCGTACTTTCCAGATAGATTGTTTAACATGTTCTCTATTTCAGTGACTAAGATTCTCATGCCAGAAATAGGTTCTGTTTGGAAAACAATGCTTTAAAACTCACAATGACGGTCATCTCCACAAACACTGACAGCAATGGTGGAAGAGACGTCACTACAAGCAGGTGGACAGCAGGTGTGGGCTGTCCACCAGCTGGCGCCATAACCTTTTGATCCCCTAGGACAGAAAATCTGCTCAACAACCCTATGTGGTCATTCCTCATTTGTTAAACGCTTTCTTCTCCTTTAATACGTTCAGAGTCCCTATTCCTTTAGCTTGATTCCCTTTTATTAAAACAGAAAGCTCTCAATAAAAGGAAGGAAAACTACTCCACTCAGCATTACAGTTCCAGAACTGATTAACATACTGAATCAAAAGTTGATAGTGTGTGAGGTTTTAGTTACGTTTAGTAGAATGTATGTCTATTTATTTTTGCACACACACAAATTACAATAGCAGATATAATACAAATTTTAGGTGTTTCACATAACTTTTGAAGTACTCAAAAATAGATTACTTAAGTAAAAGAAGATTTAACTACACAATGAAAAAACTTTAAATTTAAGTAAGTGTAAACTACTTTATATTTGAACAATAACAATAAATACCAGAGAGTACTTTTCTAACAGTTATTTTTCTGCATTTTGTGCTACAGTTAAGCAAACATGACTGGAAAAGATACCATTTTATAGCAGGACCAAGCAAGCCAAGTGTCCAGTCTATTTATTCTTACATATCTATCTTCAGTTAAGATCTTAGAATGCTGGAGTTGGCCATATAGAATAAAGAGAGGGGTAAGAAAAATGAGTTTTGTAGTCTATCAGTCACTTAAGTGACTGAAGAAACTTCAGAAAAATTTTCACTTCCCATAGCCTATTACTTCATGTGAAAGAAAAAATACCGGGTATGACAACAACAGTATCTACTGTACCATTTTATCAAAATGATTAAATTAAAAAGCACAGATTTGGGCTGGAGAGAAGGTTCAGTGGCTAAGATTACTGGCTGCTCTTCCAAAAGGCCAGGGTTCAATTCCCAGCACCCACATGGCAGCTCACAACTGTTTGTAACGCCAGTTCCAAGGGACCCAACACCCTCACACAGATGTACCCAAGGGCAAAACACCAATGCACATAGAAATATATTTTAAAAGTCCTATGTTGAGGGCAGAGGACAACATGAGGTGTCTTCCTTAATAGATCTTCACATTACTTTTCAGACAAGATTTCTCACTAAATATGAAGTTCACTGCTTGGACTAGTACATCTAGGATCCCCCAGCCTCTGCTTCCGCAGGGGAAGGGTTACAGCAACACACCACATCTTCAGCTTGCATGGAAAGCATCTTACCAGCCAAGCATCTCCCCAGAACCTTGAGGTCATTTTATTCAGCAAGGTTTATGACACAGCTAGCCAACAGAATCCACTTTCTAAAGTTAACGCTCACATCAGGAACAGAGAGCATATCTGAGATTCCAAACATGGAGGGTTTTTCTTTAATTTCTTTCATACCTTTATATTTTACAAACTTACTTTTACACTTTTATTTTAATTTTTGTTCTTAATGTAATTATATTTTTATTTTGCAGTGCTAGGAGACAGAAATAGTCAAGCATTCTACCACTAAAGTACAGTACCCAGGCCCAAAGGTTTTATTTAAAACAAAAAATTGTCAAAAGAATTTAAAGGCTACTATCTTTTAAAAGTACATATATGTTAGAGATCCTAAGTTACTTTTTCTTTAAGGAAGGAAAGTTGAATAGCTTATGGCTGCAGGAATGGAGATCAGTCATAGCAAGGAGGGCATGGCGGAGCTGAGGAGCTCACATCACAGAAGATAGGAAGCAGGAAAAAAAAACTGAAACTCTCCTGAGTCCCTAGATGTAGGAGGTTTGTTTCGATTGCTGTATTTGTTGCTGCTATTGTTGATGCTGTTGTTTTTAACTTAATACCTTTTTGTTTAAAATGTTTTACAAATTCACTCAGCAAATATCTAGGTCCTCAAAAGAGTCATGTGCACATGTGACCACACGTGTTTCAAGTATTTATTTACTTAAACCAATAGTGCTTACTGTGAGTTGGGTACCAGTCTATATACTTACCAAGGGTCAGCTCACTCCATGCCCATCACAACTCTATAAAGCCTCCTATCATCTTGACTTTAACGAAAAGATTGAAGCTAATAAAGCTTTAGTGAAGTCCCCCAGGTCACCTGCCTAATTAAACATCACAGGTCAGCACAGGCTGATCTGGCAACCAAGTCAGCTATAACAGTTAACATCGTTCAAAACTCTTACTTTTGCTATGCTTCTTGAACAATGCATGTAATGATAGAATAACACATGGGTTTGATGTAGGTATACTTCTCTACATGAACAATCAACAGTGGAGAAAGACTGGCCAAATTTCATAGTAACATATGTTTTTTAAAGGCTAACCAAGGCTTTATGTTAAAAGCTGAAAGTAGCTTGTAACTAACATAAATCAAGGCTGGGCATTGGTGGTGCACACCTTTAATCCCAGCACTCTGTGAGTTCAAGGTTAGCCTGGTCTACAGAATGAGTTCCAGGACAGCCTCCAAAGAAACCCTGTCTCAAAGAGAAAAAAAAAAAAAACTAACAAGTAAAAATAAAACTTTAATTATAAACTTTTTTAGAAAAACAAAAAATTGAGGACAAACATTTCTATCAGAGAGAAAAAATCATGCTAACAAATATAGTCTTATTCCAGTGCACCCTTAACCTAACAGCATGAAAACAAAAGTTGCATTTTCCACAGTTTCCCAGTTCGTTCAAATCAGGGTTATTTGAAAGATTCATCAGCCACAACTCTCACTAACGTTCTCTTTTCCCACTGTACACATGTGTAACTCTACCAGATCTCTGTTTTTCAAGTATTCGTGTAAAGCTCATTTAAAAGGTCTCTGCACTTCATAACACAAGATCAATATGAACAAAGTGGAAACCACAAGCCCAACAAAAAAATAGGCAGAGGAAAAAAAGCTAGAGTTAAGTAGGGTAAGGATTTCTTTTATTATTGAGAATTAGTTTCATGACGAGCCTAATCGTTAGAGGTATTTTGGTATCTTTTATCTCTTGTTCAATTTAACTGTCCTACTGTAAACCACCAAGATTCAAACAATAAAGGGCAGGATTTAAGGCCCCTTCTTCTCACTTTTGCCCAAGCGTGAACACTTCTGAGTCTGGTACTCTTCCCAAAGAGTCACCCAAGGTCTTCAGAAAAGCATGAATATTCTTACGTGAAATGACATGGTCCATATACTGAGGTAAATAAGGAGCCCAGGTATCAATAGTTTCTTTCCGTCCTGCCTGCTCAATTCTTCTCAGCTCTGCCAGAAGCAGGGCCTGTGCAGCCTCTCTCACCTAACAGAATCACAGAAACAAATGAGAAAAAAAGAAAGCATCTCAGTTGGTAAAGTGATATCCACAAACCAGAAAATTCATAGTGACATAAAATCAGAAAGCACAGAAGGCATATTTACTTACATGACAAACACTATAAATCAAATAAGGAAGTGAGTAGTTATAAAATATTGTCATTAAATGATAGTATCCTACATATCATACAGTATGCTGTTATTCAAAAAATGTTAAACTATTGGAAATATTTCTAAACTAATAGAAAGATATTTATTCAGCTTTATGTTTAAAACTTGATTTTCCAAAGCATTCTTATACCCTAATACAGCATCTTCAATTATTAAATTTCCATGTATCTATTATTGGTTTTCTTTTTTTTTTAAATCAATGTTAGGAGTAGTAAATTGTTTTCCCTAATACCCAAAAGAAACTTAACCTTATCTAGTAAATTCTTTATATACTACAATTTTGCTTGGAGCTAAGGGAAGAGGATGAGGGCAGGCAAATATGTTAAAGCCATTCACTGGATAATAATGTTTGAGTCAACAGGCCAGAGAGATGACAGAGGTCTCCAAAAAAAATTATTTCTTGATTTAAAATTTACATTTCACCAAGCCTTTTTAATATTTGTTATCTACTTTATCACATCAACACTGCCTCAAGCATTGATCTTTTATACAATCCAATAGGTATAAATCCACACAATTCACATATACCTAGACACAAACAAAATGGATAAATAGATTCTTGTGTAACCTCTTTCAGTTCTATAGAGGGAGTTATTTTTCAAAATCATATCAATTTTTTTCAGTTGGCTATGCAACTTTTTATTTTTCAGTTTAGTTTTAGTTTTGTTTAGCAGAAATACCACAGGCATAAGCCCAAAGAAGCTAGTCTATTTTTAATCAAAGTATCAATCAATTTATATAATTTATTAACTATTTATAACTTAAGGGATAACTCAGCTTCATTTAAAGAAGAGTTTAAGTAAAGCATTCTTTACAAATCTATTGTCTTCTAAAGTGAATTAAAAGATTATTCATTGAAAACTTTAGTATACTTCAGTTCTGTTTGGAGCTCACTCAACAGAGACTAGAACAGGCCAATAGCTTGAAGTATTATGATGCTTCAGCCAGCAATAGGCCAGATATACAGAGGTCCTATAGAGTTATTTCTCAGTGACATCATGGTCATTTACTGAGTATATATACATACAATATATGATGTTCAAGCAGCAAAACTGTCTAGTACAATGTGTGTTCTCGTGAGAATTACACTACAGTCTCTGCTATATAAATGATCTCCAAATAGTATAAACAAAGTATCCAGGTTTACAAAGTAAGTAATTGCTGTCACTGACATTTAATCCAGCTCTATTTTAATTCCAATGACTGTCTTGTTTTACTAGAACACAGGACCTTCTGTTGGCCTCTAACTACTCACTTGGAATTTGATGGAAAGGATTATATTGAATATGCAATCATGGGGAGATGGTTATATGTCCTCGTCATGTGAGTGCATTATCTTTATGGAAACCAATACTTAAGAAATAATTCTATAGGGTATGTTAAACTTTTAATGAAACGCTCAATGAATTTTTTCAAAATTAAATAAACAAACTAGAACATCTACTGTTTACTATAGAAACAAAGGATGTAAAACATGGAAATCTTTTTTATTAATTTTTTATTTAAATTAGAAACCATCTTACTTCACATGTCAATCCCAGATCCCTCTCTCTCCCCTCCTCCCCAACCCCCACGAGCTCCCCCAGTTCCCTGCCCCATCCCCCCTCTGCTCCTCATGGAGGGTGAGGCTTTCCATGGGGGATCTTCAAAGTCTGTCATATCATAGTGGGCAAGGCCTAGGCCCTCCCCCCAAAACATGGAAATCTTAATCCATATTTTCCACAATGGAATGAGTAAGTGATAAGGACAGATGAGATACACATTACTTTTGTTTATTGGAGTATCTTTCTCTTCCTTATTACCTCTAAGCATCGATCTTGCCATCTCCGAGCTAGCATCTCCAGAAGGGGAGGTCTAAATTTATCCAGCCCCAGCAGGTCAGGCAGCATAACACAGTGCATGGCAGCTAACTGGCTCCATCCTATCAAGAGGTTACATATAGCAAACATATTAGACATCTTGGTACTCTCCAGCAAATATAAAGCTTTTATTTGTATATATTCATCTAAAACAAAGGTCTGTTAAGTTATGTTATAAATCACTTTAGTTTAATTCTAGTATGTTTCAAAACATCATGAATTGTATTGTATCCCTCAGTCACGTATTTAGTAACCTATGAGAACTGGGAAGATTTTAAAACCAATAAAAACAATTTTCCACACAGTTTTGCCAAATTTTCAAAGAAAGCATATTTCTAGAAAGATTTTTCTAAAATAAACATATTAGATGATGGGAAAGGATAGAAATAAACACATGTGAGAGCTAACTAAACATGTGAACTTGTTGCCAGGTAAAAGGGCATTCACACAGATCTCTATCATAGGTTCAGTCACTTAAGGCATGGCCATCTGTGTGCTGCCAACATACCAGCCAAATGAGTGTCTTCCTTTCTTTGTCGGGGGCTTTAATTAAGATAGTTACTGACCCCCCCCTCACTTACTAAATGAATCAGAAACTTAGTCACAATCAAAACTAAAATACCAAAATGTCAATTTTTAAAGGAAAACTGAATGATGACATTTCACACAATTAAAAACTTGACAATCCAAAATTTACAGTCTTAAACATCACTGATTCTAACTTAAAGAAAATCAAGTTATTTTTTCCAAATGTCTGATTCTTGATATGAAATTATTCGAGAAAGACATGTTATTTACCACGATACTAGTATACAGATTTTATGAGTTATTTCACAAGTGTGCAAAACTGTATATATAATGAATTACCCATGAGGTAATTATTGGTTCATGGCATTTTGCCATTTTTTTCTAAATGATAACATCTAAAGACAAATAATAAAGAATGAGTAAAAATTCATTTGCTATCATTTATTATCTGTAAACAGAAATTCAGCAGTTCTATTCTTTGGAAGACTTAAAACTGTGTTCTTCTAAATTAATAATAAAAACCTATGATAAAATACAAAGTGATCTCTGAAACTGTTATAAAGAGAGACAAGTCACCTACTTAAATTTATCCATTCAGTAAAGAAATCCTCATCAACTGATAACAAATATGTAATTGCATTAATTTAAGTGATGGACACGCATTTCATATTGAAATTTATAAGACAGGGATATATACTTATATATAGATACATATATATCTAATGAGTAATTTCTTAATATGTTTAATGTTTCACAGATGTCCTATTGAACTACTTATGATTTAACTTTAATGGATGATGATTCTTACAAAGCCCTACAACATATTTTAAATTAAATATTGTTTAAAATGGCTCAACAAATATTATTCTAATTATTCCAATCCAGTCTTCACATTCAAACTTTAGGCTAGTGCTCTTACAGAGAAACCAAACGAACAATGATATTGCCATTGTGAGTTCTGTTCTCTCATCCCTGGGGTGTACTACTTGCAACAGGTGTTCTGGGCTTACCAAGCAATCTAACACTCCCTTTGTTTTAATGGCCTTTCAATGTAAGCTTTGGTGAAGGGTCAGAATAATTTTCAGTGACATTTTAGATTTTGTAAAGTTCTTCCTTTTCATTTTGCCCAAAATAGTAAAGGTCAAGACCATACTAGAGAAAATACATAACATAGAACTCATGAGCCCCATTACATTCCAGGTTTAAATGATGCTAAGAGAGTAAAAACAGCAAATGTTGCATTTGCAATTTCAGAGCTCCAAAATTATTTTCCATTTGTGTAACTACACAGCAAGAAGGATACTCTAGTCCAACTCAATCCAAAGTCTTAAATTACAGAACTCTGTGCCTCTGCCTAAAGCAGAAACAGTACAAAGGATAGGTGAATTCCCATCAGCTTATGTAATCAACCTAAAGACTTTTCAGGTGAGAATGTAAAGTAACAGACTCACCTGCCTTATACTAGAGCATACGATTGTGTAAGGACAGCACATTGTCTCTCATACACTAATTGTACGTGTAAAATAAGTTTAGGATCCTTAAGGCCACAAAGCAAATGGCAAAACCACAATGACAAACAATCCACCTTTTAACCAAGATTCTACAAGGAAGCTTAGCGTCCCTGCTCTCCTGTAGCTGTGTAGGTAATGGCAGACATGGTTTTCGCTAGGCAGGAGGGAACATCACAGTATTTACATTCAGCACCTGGCATTGAGTTCAGCAAATAAGGTCACAAAACGGGAACCTCAGGACTCACACAAAATAAAGCAGATGGAGGTATAAATCAGATAAAAAAAAAAAAAAGAATAAGTTTATCAGGCCAAAGCAGAGACAGAAAGGCAGTTGATACAAAGTGAGAGAGAATACCTTCATTTACTAAGAAACAGGTGTGTAAAGCGGTAGAGGCAGAGGCAGAGCCAGAGTGATCAGCATCAGACCGAGCAGAAACGACAGGTGCAGCGACTTGCAGAGAAAAATAGGAGAAATAAAGAGGAAAGAATTGAGGTACAGCAGTTTCTGAAAAAAAGCTCAGTATTAGTGAAGAATGAAAACAAAGTTAGCAAAATATAGTGAGTATACAACTAAAAAATGATGTTTCAGTTGGAAGGGAATGCTCATTAGAAAGTACTACTGAGACGGTGAATCTCAATGTAGTTCAACCTCCGCTTAAAGCCAAGATTGTTTTTATATTATACATCCACAATAAAGCAAATCTTATATTTTAAAAAAAACATGAGCACAAGACAAGAAAAACTACATTAAGAATTCTCAGAAATGTAATTAAAACATATGACAGAGAAAATTTTAGGTGGCCTTCATACTGTTGATCATATTTTTCAAATAGTTTATTCTCTAATATTATGTGTAAACTATTTTTAAGTATCTGAAAGGACTACCAAATGGCATTTTGATTCTCTACACTTACGTAACAACTCGACTTCAAACGTACCCACTTGTAAAGAACCTACACAGTACGTTGCATTGAACTCTTGGAAGAATCTTAATACAGTTGCATTCACTTTAAAAATATATGCACAAAAACAATCATGAACTACACTCTTATACAATGGATAAACCAATCCCCTCCCCCAACTCAAAAAAAGTTGTACTCCTAGGAAAATGTTGCAGCTTAAATTATCATATGAAAAAACCCAAGGACCTTGTGGCATACACATTCTACAACTGGGGGTCAATGTTAAGATTTAGAGGTCATAATTTGACACTTCCTTCCTATGAAAAAATTACCATATGTCATGCACAAGCATCTTCAAATTAATCCCTCTCCTTTCTTTTGTTACTGAGCAGCAACGGCTTTGGGCTCCTGAGCGGATCAGGCATTGTCTGCTGGATGATATGTTTGCTTTTCACACAGTGAAGGTCTTTTGTTATGATGGGACAGCTGCAGGAAAACAACTTTTTTTTATAATTTTTCACACGAATGTCACTCAGGCACGTGTGACTAAAAGAAGTCTGTGAACAGTAGGAGAATGAAAACTATCTCCATACTTCTCCCACCCATGGAACTTTTACGTGAAAAAATGCAATTTTTTTTTATTATGACAGACTTGGTTTTATTATAGGGCTGACTATTTTGTGTTATATTTATTAATTATGTCATAATAATCTAAAACTACCACTATAATCTTAAAAAGAATACAAAATATTTAATACAACCCACTGAAAATTTTCATTTTTAAATTTCTCTTCACTATTTAATTACAAAATCAGTTTAATGGCCTGAATAACATTTGCTTCCGCATAGTGGGATTCCCCCTGTGGCTGAACTTCAAGCCACAAAAAATGCTGAGCAGCCTGCTCAGGGGGTCCCCAACAGTAGAAACTTCTGTGATGTCAAAATTGTAAAATATTTATTATTATTGTTTGCATTCAATATGCTTAGAGGAAATTGTTTGCGTCTATAATGCACCTGGCTGCACTCCTGCCCAGCTAACCCTCCCTTCACTACAAGTCCCTTCTCAAGGTCTCTGAAAAATCTGTATTAATTCTGCTTGATTTCACCCTAATTCTGTAAGTATACTAGAATGAGAGGATGAACCTGTAAAGGTTCAGTAGTGGCTGATCACTATCCACTAGGTCAAATAAATGGAATTAAACCTTGATGCTTTCTCAATGTACTAGTATTCAAAAAAAAAAAATAGAAGCACAGTTGGCAAACCTGCCTGAGTACATATACTAGGACATGACGCTCAACCCATGCAACTATTTATAAAAGAGAAGAAAATAAATTTTTGGTACTATAATTTTGGAGTCATGTTTAATAGAAACAGAAATAGGCATTTATGTTGATTCTTTAATAAATCTTCTGGATACTACAAACCAAGCAATAAAACTAAGGGATTAGATTTACTAAGCTTTAATGATCTCTGAACCAACATAAAAAAAAATGTCAAAATTTAGAAATTCGCTTAGAGTTCACTGAGAAATTAAACTCTTGTCACAGCTTTTTACAACTGTCAACATATAGAATACTGTGAAACTAGAAGAAAACATATCACTCAAAATAAAACATTCAACGTTTAATAATAAATGACAGACCTGAAATGTTCTGTGAGGGTTTAAGCATAAATCATATTTGCCCATCTTGTTAAGGCAGAAAAGTCTCAGTGCCACCTATGATTTTCTTATGGAAAGAGGCTGAAGAGACATACGCTCTATTATTTTGCCAGGGAGGGTCCTTTAAGAACGTACTATTGTAGTTCAGAGCCTCATTCACTACTTATCATCCCATGGAAAACTTGATCATATTTTCAATAGATCCTAGTTTTCTAGGCTCTCTGTTATTTTGTTGTTGTTTAATCTAATCTGACTATACATATCTTTCAATTATTTCATTAGAATAAGTACACAAAAAAACTAACTTTTCAAGACTATAAATGCGCCAGGCAGTGGTGGCGCAAGCCTTTAATCCCAGCACTAGGGAGGCAGAGGCAGGCAGATCTCTGTGAGTTCGAAGACTAGCCTGGTCTACAAGAGCTAGTTCCAGGACAGGCTCCAAAGCCACAGAGAAACCTTGTCTTGTAAAACAAACAAACAAACAAACAAACAAAAAAAACAAGACTATAAATGCTTGAAAATGTTAGCAGCCTAATTTTGTATTTTACTGATAGTTTGGAACTATGAGCAAAAACTTCTTAAAGAGGCTGTGTCCATTATGGTTTGTTTTTATTTTGTCTAATTTTATTTATTATGATGATGATGTAGATATCTGTCTGCTTCCTAATAAGAGAGAGAAAGAAAGGCATAGATTTGGGTGGGTGGCAAAGTGGGAAGATCTAAGAGAAGTTGGGAGAAGGGGAACCACTGTAATAAGAATATATTGTATGAAAAAATCTATTTTCAACAAAATAAATAAATAAATTTTAAAAACAAAGCTGATAAAAGCACAGACGTGTGAGGAGCCTGGAGTGTTACAAGCCAGAGGCCTGTTGCCTTATCCTGGCCTACATCTAGGCTCCCAGACCACAGATGCCTTGACCATTTCTTTGTCTGAACTCTGTGAATAACAGACAGAAACTTTCTGAAATCTACTAACTCAGCAGACTATTAGCTTCCACCACACCATGAGCTAAGAATGTCATCAGATATTATCTTGGCCCCACAGAAAAGCTTCCCCAATCTTTCTGTAACCATCACTCTGATGACACAATATATTTTAAACTTGCCTTGATTTACAACTTTCTTTGTTCTATAAACTATGAAACTGCTTCCATGTTGGAACAAGGAATTTGCGGTAACCTAAATCATGTTCTTGGGCAGTAACTCCAAAATAAACTATCGCTTACTCCCTTAAGATAAAAGCTGTGGTTTTGAATCAACAGAAATAAATAAATTATGGTAGCAGCCATGATAACCTGAAATGCAGAATATGTATTGCTGAAGTAAGTACAATTACCACAAATAACTACTTACACAAATTTGAAGGTTTTTGTGGACTTTTGAAACATACTATTTCTGGACACCCTGCAAGTCATAAATAAATCCCTGTCTTAAGTCATAGTAATGGTCTTGGGAATTATGTCCATAATTGTTATGATCCATTGTTTCAGGACATAAATAAGCATACAGCACAACACTACGATAGGTTATAAGAAAATCGCCTATTCATACTATAAGTTTATACATCATGGTAGAGATTCCAGAACTACATTAAAATTTTACTTCAGTAATATACTTATTTATAATTCAGACATGTTTACTTAGACATTGAGTAACAAACTAGGATGCAATGCAAAACTGAACTGTCAAACACTATTAGGCCAAAAAAATTCCTCTATGAGAGAATTAAATAACCAATGGGAAATGGGTGTGCAAACATTCAGACAACAGAAAGAATTAAGGACCTACCATTTCAGAATGAATTAGCAATCCCACAGTGATGAAAAGCATAAACGTTAAGGCAGTAACATATCAAGAAGCTCATAATATTTTAAAACTATAGTAGTTGTTCTGGAGCAATGGCTCTGTGGTTAAAAGCACTTGCTGCTCTTGCAGAGGACCCCCAAGCTCAGTTCCCAGCAGCCACATGGTGGCTCACAGCCAGCTGTAACTCTAGGCCCAGAGGATCCAGCACCCTCTTCTAGCCTCTCAGGGCACTAGGCACACATGTGGCATACTTGTATATATTCAGGGAAACACACACACACACACACACACACACATATATATATGTCATACATGTATATATGTTAGGACTCCAACTAGACATCTTAAGAAACCAAGTAAAAACCTCCAGTGCCAGGAATGGGCTACATCTTGTTGAGTCATTGGCAAAAAGGGTACCATGGAATCCCTAAAACATCAGAAGGCACTGTTCACACTACTGGAGAAGAAAAGTAATTATCAATATCACTCAGACACAAACCCTGTGACATATCTGAGATAGATTGTTTAAATAGTGGCACAAATGTTATAGGCGTCACCAACCACTGACTGGATTTAAAGCCCACTTCATGAGAAAGAACCTACACCTAACACTGCTAAAAAAGCCAAAAAACCTAAGACTAGATAGATTATGGGCCTAGGGGAATGCCTGATACTATTATTCTGCTAAAGGAATATAATGAAAAAATAACTCCTGATGATATAGTGTTATATCCATAGGTCAGTGACTCCTTCAGTGTTCTTCAAATGAGCTTCTTTTTGCAATAGATGGGAATCGACATGAAGATCCACAATTGGACAGTATGAAGAGAATGTGAGATGTTAGAGAACTCAGTCCTAAATGTGATGCCTTCATCAAGTCCCTACCATCAGGGCACAAGAATGTGTGTGAAAGAGAAGGAGGAGAGGTTGAAAGAACCAGAGGTGGTGGATGACTTAAGGACAGACTGTCTTCCAAACACACATGAACTCACAGAGACCATGGCAGCACATACAAGGCCTGCACAGGTTCAAGCCAGGCTGGGTGCCAGCACTGAGGGGGTGAGTGGACAAAGGGCTTGACCCCTAACCAAGAAGCTTTCTAATACTGATACCCACTGGCCAAGGAAAAATCAGTTTTCTCCAACTGAGTGTCACTGGGTGTATTAACTACACTTCGGGGCAGGCCCCATGGCCAGTAGGTGTTAGCCAACAACGACAGAAAATCACTGGTATTTTTTTTAGAGTTTTTGCTTCATTTTCCTTTCTTTTCCCAGTTTTTTGTCATATTGACCTTTTGCCTATTTGTTTCGCTCTTTGTTTTTGTGTTTTCATGGTATTTTTTTTAAAAAGAGAGATAGAGAAAGAACATAAAGTAGGGTGGGTAGGGAGATGGGATGAGTCTGGAAAGGATTGTGGAAGAGAAACCTGATCAAAAAAGTTGTGGCAAGGTCACAAGCAAGTCACAGTACTCTTTGCAAATTTATTTTCAGAAAGGGGTTAGATTTATGTCATCTACAGTAAGAAATGGAAAGCAGCTCTTGTTAGGCAATCATAGGAAACATTTATATGCACTAACCAACAGTTTATCGCTGTCTTTTTCAGGTCAGTAGTAGAAATGTAGGCTTGCAGTAGAGTACTGGATGCAACACTTAAAATTCTGTGTTTTAAATTAACATGTTACTTTTTAATTTTTATTGCTGATTAAATTCTTTCTGCATGCATATGAGACAAAGTGAACCCTCTAATTGGCCTATTTTATCAGCTTGACAAAGTTCCTAAGGCAAGACACAGGGAATCTGAACTCAGCAAGTAGAGGATACAAAGGGGAGAGTCTGGGGAGAAGAGAACAGAATTTAAAGGCTGGGGAAGAGAGAAAAGAGATACTAGGGCTGAAGCTATGCAGAAGGATCTCCTCAGGTTCCAGCAGAGGACCAACCAGAACACTTCAGGAAACTAGTGAGGAAGGGAGACAGTGAGGAAGGGAGACGGACCATCGGGAAGCCCAGAACAGTGCCTTTCTTCAGCAGCCTGCTGGGGATGCTCAAGGAAGATCTTGCCTCAGTAATAGGGAATAACTGACCTTATTTAGAGCACTGCTCAAACTGCCTTCACAAATTCCATCTTAAAAGGAAGCTCCCGAAGGTTTGTAAGAATACAAAATACCTAGTAGCCTGTCTGACAGGTTTTTTTTGTTTGTTTGTTTGTTTGTTTATAGTGTTTCCAAGACAGGGTTTCTCTGTCTAGTTTTTGGCACCTTTCCTGGAACTCGCTTTGTAGATCAGGCTGGCCTCCAACTCACAGAGATTCGCCTGCCTCTACCTCCAGAGTCCTGGGATGAAAGCATGAGCCACCACCACCTGGTTGTTTGACAAAATTTTAAGCATCTGTCATGTTAATCAAGCATGAAAATTCAGAGGCAGGAAAGTGTAGTCCATAATAACAATTAATAAAAAACTCAGAACAAGCAAGGATAAGACAATAATCAGATAACCCCACACATTCAAAGTGAGATAGGAAAGATATAAAAATCATTACCCAAGTCAAAAATACATAAATATGGGATTGAAGAAAGTTCACACCCTGATGGAAAATAACTAATTAAACTGAAACTATTATAATATAAATTAAATCAAAATCTGGGAAAGTGGCACAAAAGTAGTAGGGTTTAGTGGGTAGAGGCAAGTACAGCCAAGCTAAAGACCTAAGATTTCCAGTAGTTTGTCCTCTGACTTCCACATGTACTCCATGGCACATGCAGACACACACACACACACACACACACAGAGAGAGAGAGAGAGAGAGAGAGAGAGAGAGAGAGAGAGAGAGAGAGAGAGAGAGAGAGAGAGAGAATTTAAATAAATAAAAATTTAAGGCATCATTGACAAATGAGGCAATTTTAAGAAATCTAATATGCATATAATGAGACCACTGAGAAAAGTATTTGAAACACTATGTAAAATAATTGCAAAATTCACACAAAAAAGTATGAAATAAAAAGTAGACTCAAAGATACTTGATAATTTAAAAAGATAGCAAAAAGAAACAAAAAAGAAACAAAACAAAACAAAAAAGATAGCAAAAGAAAGAAAAAAAACAAAGGAAAGTGGGACAGTGGGAAATACAGCAAAAGAAAAAAAGAAATCAACTAAACTCTAACTATATGGACAATGACATTAAAGGTAAAAAAAAGCTTAAAACATTAAAAAGCAAACTGCGTCTAAATATGGTGGCGCACACCTTCTATCCCAGCACTGAAGGGGCAGAGGCAGTCAAGCCTCAGCAAACTAAAGGCCAGCCTGGTCTACAGAGTAAGTTCCAGGACAGCCAGGGCTACATAGAGAGGCCCTGTCTTAAAAAAAAAACAATCAAGTCAAATTAGGTTACATTGGATAAAAGAGCAAGACATAACTACATGATGCCTACATAAGAAACAAGCCTTAAATACAAAGCCTCAAAAAGAGAAAAGGCAAAAAGATGGGAAAGTTATATGATTAAAATAGCAACTAAAGATGCTAAATATTATGAATATAGTATGTTTCAGAAAAAAGAATATCAGAAGCATAAAGATTATCATTTACAATATTAAGCCAAATAATAATAATGATAGCTCCAAAAATGTATGTACCTTTTATGGGAGTTTTAAAAATAAACATGAAAAAAATCTTCCAGAAGTAAAAGGAAGCATAAGCAAATAAATAATTATGATTTCAGGTTTCAATCATCTCATCTACTTAATAGAGACAAGTAGGCAGAAAATGATCAGCTATTGACCTGACTTTATAAAATACTCTACCTAACACCAGACTATACACTTCTTAACATACACAGAGTATATTCACCAAGTTAGAGCATGTGCACACAAACACAAGCACACACATAGAAACACACACACACATATGTATGTGTGCACAATGGTAACGTAATACAAATGATAATTAGCTTGATTTAGCAATTCCAAAATATACAAATATATTGAAACATCCATGCCACTAATATACACAATTATTTTTAAATAAATAAATACAGTAAAATGGAAATATTCCAAAGGATTCCAACATGGAAGTAATGTTATTTCACTATCAATGAGAACCCAGGCACATTCTTGGAAAATCTTGGAAATGTTGGAAAATTAAATACTAAAATTACCAGATACTAAATAGAAAATGTGGGAGTTGCCACAAAGCAATATTCAGAAAGGAATTTCAGCACTAAATATAAGGGTATCAAGGTCAACCATCACATGTCATTAACTTCAGATTTCCTTAAACTAAAAACGTAAGACTGAATTTAAAATAGAAATAACAAGATGATAGTAATTATAAATCAAATAATTTAAAAGCAGAAAAAAATCACAGAATTCAATTAAGCATAGCAGGGTTTTAAGGAAAATTCTAAAAATTGGTTTCTACTAGGCATAATGGATTAAAAAAACATAGAAGATGAACAATGGAATTAAAAGGGGAATTTTAAGAATTTCTAGAACATTTTGCCTAATAAATTTGACAGAAAGTTCACTAAAGAAAATTATAAAACAGAAACAAAACCAGAATGCCTGAAATATATGCAAAAAAATAAAATATACAGTTAAAAATCTATAAAGAAAATTTCAGGCCTACAAGCTTTCATTTAATGATCTAACAACCTAAATAAAGAGTAAACCATTCCAGAAAAGTACAAAGAAAAGGATCACCTTCCACTCACTCTGTGAGGTCATTACTCTGTCACCAACTACAGAAAGCCATTACCAGAAATTAAAATATACCCTAAAATTCCCATGAACACCACACATCTTCAACAAAATTTTACTAGTCATATTTAATAATCTATAAGTGTGATTTATATGCCAAGTGTTTTTAAAACCAAAAGTCAATATTCTTTGTCTTATGAAGGCAATAAAGGAGGAAAATCATATAATTTCAATGGATGCAGAAAGAAAATCTGACTAAATTTAACATCTATTAATAATAAAGTTAGAATCTCAACAAATTAGGAATATAGGGGTATCTCCTTAATGCAATATAGGGCATCTTGGAACAAAATCTAAATAGGGAAAATATGTATAAATTGTGATCTATTCATTCAACAGAATAATACACAGCAATAAAAATAACAAACTATAGTTCTGATGCAATAAAACTAATAAATTAGATAGTTGAGGCCAAACAGAAAAGAATATGTATACTATATAGTGAACTAAACTCAAGTAAATCTCAAGAAATGCAGTTAAATGACAAAATTTATGAATTTAAATATAGATGTATGAAAGCAAAAAAAATTTAAAAATTAAAAAGGGGGCAGTCACCAGAAAAGTTGTGATGGTGCCAACTAGATCCCATTTATTTGAAATTCCAGAAGTACTTTATTGTAAGGTTGTTGCTTTTTCTAATTCTGGAGTATATTTATAACATGATAAGTATCATACAGCTAAGAGCCATGTCTAAATAGAGAATTCACCTGTTTTATACCTACGCTTCACCCTGATCTTTAAACAGTTATAACTAAGCATATTAATTCACAGAAATGTTTAGAATTTCAATAGGAGAAAGTCAGTCTTCCCCCTCCTATTCCCTAATGAAAAACAAAGATAAAAATGAAAGTTATGGTATATTATTATTTAAAAACAAAGAACAGTTTAATAGGCATTTTTGACTTGTGAATAGCAATGTAGACACCACTAGAAAACAGTAGAAGACTAATTGTAGCATAAATCTGTGATTTCAAACATTTCCAACAGTGTTAAAAATAGGTACAACTTCTAAACTTAGGATACACACAGTTAACTACTGTTGTCAAGTTAAGGTGGCCCTAATACATACAAATTAGGCCAAAGACCATATAATAAAATTATCTGAAATATGCTCAGTTATCAATTTCCAAATAAATCTGATTTATTTTTAACTGACATCTTAATTATCCATATTTACATCTGGAATATAACAACTTTTCTCTCTTTTAACAATCTGAGACAAACAAAATATTATGATTATACATTAGCAATGCCTTCTCAGTTTCTACAGCTGAAATGTCACGTCAATTACTTAGTAAGATTTAATTTTACCTTGTTTAATCTGTCCTTGCACAATATTACTGGAAGGTGGAGGGGAACCCCTTGCCTTTGAAAGGTCTGGGGTGCCTGGTCTAGGTGGCCTTTAAAAGAAGAAAAAAACATTGAACATTTTCCTATTTCCAGAGCTATTCAAAATGTCATTCTCTAGATTGAAAAGAAACATATGCAGAACATTTTCAACTTACTATTTCAAAAAGATGGTCATTTTCTAAGTTTTGTGCCTATTGATGTTGTTCATTTCAAATTTTGGCAAAATAACTACGTGATTAAGAAGTATTCATACCTTTTTTGTAATGAAAATGTTTACTTTCTGTTAGCCTTAACATGTATTTCTGAACACTCCCATGAACGACAACTGACAGGCAGAAGTCACTTCGTCTCATTTCTTTACTGTTAACACTGGCATTTCAGCCTGCCCATTAGCATCTAGGAATTCATGGACCAGTATGCCAATTTGAAAAGCATTTAATCATATGCGTAGAAATAAAGCATAAAGAAATCTTGGAGTCTAGAGGTAAAGTGTCTCTTTTGAATTTCTGCTCAAAAACATCCTATGATAAAGTATTTACATACCAGGCAGTAGTGGTACACACCTTTAATCCCAGCACTTGGGAGGCAGAGGCAGGTGCCTCTGTGAGTTTGAGGCCAGCCTGGTCAACAGAGTGAGTTCCAAGACAGCCAAGGCTACACAGAGAAACCCTGTCTCAAAAAACAAGAACAACAACAAAAAAAAGTATTTACAGGATTAAGAACACTGAATTTTTGTAGGATAATTACAATAGAACATGGCACAAAATAAATGCTATCTAAGTATTTCTTAGGTTTAAAAAATTGATGTGGTCAACTTTAATAAAGCATAATAATAAGTTGTCTTCATAACTTTGAGAAATAGCATTCAGGCTAAGTATTGTAAAAAAATCAAAATATTCTCTTTAAGGTAGTCTGTTTTAAAAGTTATTTTCTCTTCCCTTTTGCAAAAATTTGGACTGCACTTAATAGGACATTCCAGAGACAATCACTGGGCACATCAATACTGCATACAGATTACAATGAAAAGCATTGTGAACAATACCCATTTAAACTGAATGTCAGTTCAAACTTCCAAGAGGTATAGATTTGAGTTTATATTTATGGAGCTCAAAGAGACGGCTCAGCAATTAAGAGCACAGACTGCTCTTGCAGAGGACTGGAGTGCTTCCCTGAACCCACACTGGGCAGCTCATAACTACCTGTGTCTCCGGCTCCAGTGATATAACATCCTCTTCTGGATTTCACAGTCATCTGCATTCACACATGCACAAGCCCAAATCTAAGCACATAACTTAAAAAAGAATAAGACCATTGTGGTGGCCCACACCTTTAACCCCATTACTTAGGAGGCAGAGATGGGCCAGTCTCTTTGAGTTCAAGGCTAGCCTTGTCTATGCTGAACTCCTGGTTAGTCAGGGTTAACTCAGAAAAAAAATCTTAAATTAAAAAATTTAAAGATTTAATTTATTCAAGAGCTATCCTGTATGACCTCCCATTTAACATAGCTACTAAATATGACTACATATATAATACTGCAATAGTTTTATTGTGTTTTAATGCCTCTGTCTTAGAAATGCTTTGTTTTATGGTTTAAATAGGAAGTCACTAATGTGACATTTAATGGAAAATGTGTGCAGAGCCAAAAACTAAAAGAGCAGTAAACAAAAACAAAAATAGAGTATGATCATTTATCCCATTGGAAATAAAGAATAAAATTAAACTACATAATCACACCTGGTCGGGCCCTTCTTCATGTGATCGCCAATGAAAGTTGCATTGGTCATACTCATTAACGTATTTGCCAAAGATATGATGGACAAGAGATGTTGAGTGGTGACTGCTCGAGACACTGTGTAGGTTCCCTTTCCTACTCCATCAGTTGTCAGCAACTTCCTTCCTGTTTCCTCTTTCCCATGTAGTAATTTAGCAGCAGCCTGATTATAGCCAGGAAGCATCAACGACATATGACCTCCTCTCGATAAGAGACCAAAGGACACTGTGCAGTGTGGTTTCAGCATTCCAAGGCGATCAAGACAAACTTCATCCAGAACGTCATTCAAACCCCAGGCGTGAAGACAGGACATGAATAATTTTGCAGTGTCCATAGTTAGATTGTATTCTAGTAAGGTCAGCGGCTTGGACTTGCTGGCCCGGTACTCGGGATCACTCTCTTCCCTTCTCTGCCTCATGATCTCCTCGTCCTCCTCTTCCTCATCCAGGAGGTGCTCCTTTATGTTCTCTTTGATAGTTTCCTTCACTTGCTGGAAAAGAACTGCTGCTCGTTTTCCAGTTAGAAAAGAGCCCCCTTTGTCTGAACTGCCAGATGCTTTTTGCAAATTCTCTGGGGAAATAAGTGCAGTATTCGGCCTAGAGGCTTCTTCAGTCAGGAGTTGAATAATCAAAGCTTCCACATCAAAGAACAGCACATGGATGTCCGGGTCTGTTAGGTTCGTCTTTATTGCTTGAACCATCAGGGAGTTATGAGAATATTTAGGTAAATTCCCCTGTAACGAATATTTAAAAAAAAAACTGGTTACAATTCAAAGTATTTAATCTCAACATTCATTAGTGAACAATAAATAACTGAATTAAAATGCTTATGAGGCTGTCTTTTTAGGGCTTCTAGAAAATTAAAATATCTTTGCCAACGAGCAACATGTAAACGATACGAGCTTATACAATGACTTTACCCCGACCCAATCATTAAAATACCAATTAATTTAAAGCCAAGTATACATTAATAAAAGCTTATTACTGAAGTGGGAACTACGAAAATGAACTGTGGCTGGCCCTGAACAAGCACCGTGGACTGAACTCCTTCCTTCAGCACTTCCCTTCAGTCTTTCTCCCTTACCAAATTCCCTCTAAAGACATATTTAAGTCTTCCGGGCTCTAGATTGTAAAAGTAAGGTGATCCTGACCATCTTCCATCTACTTCTTTGCTTTACTTACTGTCCGTTCTACTCAAATCTACTGAAAGTGTAGATCTGCAGGCAGCTCTTCAGGATGGGTCCTCTGACATTGTCTCATGGAGACAAGAGTGTATAACACAGTTCACTTATGTGATGCATGTGTGCATGCATGTATATGTGTAAAACCCATACATGTTACACCAGAATGTAAATTGAAGTTACCTTTTGATGAAATCATAGGACATTTTGTTCAGACTTTAGATGTCTCAAATTACATATAGTTAACACACGCTATTTTTTCATAACTAGAAAATAAATCTATAGAATAAAATATAGACTTCTTCATCCCAAATACAGGGCCTATTTATAAAATCCCCCTTTCAGCTTTAATAAAGAGGCTCTTGAACCAACTCGGTGACTCCTGACATTCAAATCCTTTCATTTTCGCTTAGTACTCCTTTATCCTCTAAGTCCTCTTCTACGTGGCCCTAACTCTCAATCACAACATATATGCACATCAGATCAGTACAGTGAATGCCTTACTTGTCAACCATATCTCATTCATGTTGAGGAAAGGACTCTAATTCTCCTGGGAAAAAGTTAGCCAATGGTTCATTTAGTTCCCCTAACATTTTATAACACCTATGTGTCAGATATTTGGATATCTCAGAAATATTTAAACAGTTACTTATAACTTCCTTATTCTGCAGGGTAATTTCAAAACACAGACAAACCATGCCTTACCCATTCTGTGCAACCAAAGAGCCTAGAAGGATGAGCAGAGAACACTATAAAAGTCTTATACAATTATTCAAATTGCTTATCAACTCTTCCTAAAATAGTCACAATAAATTCCCTTAACTGGTCTGTCTTGTCTCAATTTCTATCTTTTCTGACTACACTTCTAGCTTCAGAGGTTATCAACAGTATTTTATAATTTGAGAAGAAAATCCAGACTTCTTTACAAAGCACAAAGAACTCTCCAGAATATATTGTTGCTTGCGCCTCCATTTCACCTCTAATCACCACCTCACGCCTTAGCACCAAATCACTTCTCCTTTCCAGAAACAGTCTCAGTCTCTGTACCTTTGCAGATGTTCACCCTAGGACCACACTCCTTCTCCATTCCCTGTGCCATCATTTACAAAATATATCGAGTTGCTCACCATCCAAACATCCCTCAAAGAATTAATTCAAGCACATGTTATCACTGCCTCCTTTGTAGAAACTTCTCTGAATTGAATGATTTTAAAGAATAACATCAATCTTTTTATATTATAGTAAACAACATAAAGAATATCCCTAGTCAATATCAAACTAGAGGGACATGGCCGAGAAATTACCAATTTCATCTCAGGTGACCAGGGAGCTCCACACAGAGGAGCTAATAGCAACCAAAAAACACTCATGGCAGAAAGAAAGCAAAGTGCAGACTAGGACAGTGGCAATGAAAATGAGAGGGTGGGTGCTGAAGAGCCCACAGGTGATCAAGATGAAGAACCACGGCCACGGTCCACTGAGACCACACTGGGGCTGCTGAACTTTATTCTGCCAGCCAGACTTCACTAAAGCAGAACCATCAGGCGTACTAGTGAAATACAGGTGCCTGGACCTGACCATCAGACCAGAAGTAGCGCACCTAGGAATGTGTAGGAATCTGTCTACTGAATACCAAGACAACTTTACACAGCAATGTTGGGAACAATTATCCAAATGAAGGGAGTCACATGACCAGATTCAGTACTGTTACCTTAAAAGGAGTAAGAGCAGGGTCATGAATATGAAATGGGAGGTGGCAGAAGCCACGCAGATGATCAAGGTAAAACTGCATTAGCCAGAAGGATGTGAGAGATGGGACAGAATAAAGAATACGCTCCTGATCCTTTCATTTCTCCCAGCTCTGTTTTACATATTTTCCTCTGAAACACTGAATGGTATAATATCACACACTTTGCTCAGTGCTTTGTACCTACCAGCACTAACTCAAGTGAATCATGTATGACTTCGTATATGTATTATGTTCAATATAATACTGATAAGACAGTTATAATTAGTAATTGCAGCCACTATATACTAAGCTGTTGCTGTTGCTGTTGCTGTATCTTGGGAATTATCCTAGTTATTAGCACCGACTATGTGACAAAAAAATAGGAAGGAAGGAATCAGCAACAGTAGGTCAAATGAAAAAGGTCTCCACAGTGCTTCTAAAGATGTTCCTCCCGCAAAATACTCGTAACATTCTTGTAGAAAAAGAAGAAACTATTATCAGTCAGACAACATAAAATCAAACAAGTTTGGCTAAGAAGTTCCTGAAGCCGTGAGAAGGACTTGAAAAAAAAGAAGGCAAAAGGGAAACAGAAGGTAGACAGACTTCAAATGTCATCTGATGTCAGCCACACATGTGCCCATCAGCACCCCTACTCTGCAGGCATCTCTATCTGCTTCTGAAGGTGTTCCAGCAGTTAGCCACATGCTCACAACAAAAAGGTTATCTAATTAATACCATGTCTGTGTGTGACTCTGTAAGATTCTTTTTATTGCAACCTCTCACACATACCGGATGTGCCCTGTGACAAAAACTGTACCTAATAGCAATCCGCACAAAAAGAGTGTGAAAGATAAAGAAAACAAGACCACCAAGACAAAATATAACAAAAGAAAACACATTAAGGCTGAAGGGGAGACCATGACTCATCACCATCACAGTGGATGAGCTGTTTCTCCCACTACCAGGGCATGACCACCAATTCTATTGACTTAGACAGCCTGGCACAACAAAAAGTAGATGCCTACCAAAGTATTTTGTTAGGTAAAGGTAAAGAAATGACAGAGTTAATCATCCTCAGGTCTGCATTTCTAGAATGCAGTGTTAAGATGAGCTATAGGAAAGGAACAAAGACATCTACCAAATTCCAAGCTTTCCTTGGCTTTATGATAAAATATGCACACCTGGGACCAGTCTGATTCACTGAAATCATCAGATATTCTCAACAATTTCAAAGTTCTAGACGGGCCGCTCCGTTGCAATTACTAGAACCCCTGAAATGTGGGTGCACAATTAATTCATCTTAATGTTATCACAGAACAGGATTAAATTCAGTTCAACACATATTTGTGGAGTATACAGTGTAAACATGCATAGGAGGAAACAAAATATTCATCCTTAAAGAAATAGTTGAAAATCAACTTGACAATGGCTAAAAGAAAAATGACTAAGTCTCCAAGTTGCTAGTAAATGCAATTATACAAATATCTATACTCACATAGCAGGCTAGGAAACAGATTTATTGTATGCTTATTTTAAGTATCTGGTTTATTGCACTCTTCATTTTAGAAAGCGCAATATGAGATTTCTTTTGTTTTGAGCCAGGTTCTCTCTATGTAGCCCTGGCTGTCCTGTGATTCACTGAGACCTACCTGCCTCTGCGTCTACCAGGTTAGGATTTTAGATACATCTGCCACCATGCTCAGCACCATTTGCAATCTTAAGAAAAGAATAATTAACCTAAAATAGAACATAAAAGAAAACACTGAGGAAAAAAAGAACCCTGAACTTCTGACTCAGAGCTGAAAGTGAACCTGTAGCAAGAGCATGAGATAAAATGATATCTAAAGTAGAACCCAAGGAAAACAACACAACTATCATCCTGATATCAAGGTCCATCCACGTATACACGAATGTCAGTATACAAGCATGCCAGGTGTGGTAGACCCCACAAACAAAACATAACAATCCAGAATGCTCAGAGAAATAATGTTGGCACGTATATACAACAGTTTTCATCATTTTATCCAATTGAATATATTCTAGATGAAATCGTGTCTGCTGAAACATCTGATAGCTTTGCCTCTGAATACCAATATTACGATTTAAGGGTCGTTAATGGGCTTAAGATTTTAAGTGTATTGCATTTTATCCACTGACAACAAGTTTTGCTCTCGCACTATTCACTTCATTGATCCTGACTTGAAAGCTCACTTATTTTGAAATCATTGTTCAATAACACAGTTTTCAATGCTATCTTTAAATAGTCTTGTGATTTATTATTCTTTCTGAATAATAAATATAAATCCAATCTATAATATCATTTGATATGGGTTTTATCTAAAAATAGAGTTGATTTTTACTACCAAGTATTATGTTAGCTGATGCTCATAATCAAATGCAAGGTAAAAACATTGATTTGCGCGCGCGTGTGTGTTTTGTGTGTGTGTGTGTGTTTTGTGTGTGTGTGTGTGTGTGTGTGTGTGTGTGTGTGTGTGTGTGTGTGTGTGTGTGTGTGTGTATGGCACTGGTTGTTGGGTATGCATGTCTGAGTGGGTACATGCACATGCATGTGCAGCCAGAGGTTGATGTGAGGTGTTTAGCTCCCTGAACCTAGCACTCACTGATTCAGCTCACCCTGTACCACCTTCCAGTACTTAGACTATGTGCACTGCATGCCCAGCCGTGCATGGGTGCCGGGATCCAAACTCAGGCAGACCCAAATACTTGTATGGCAACCACTTTGCCAACTGACCTTTCCCCTAGCTGTTGGTGATATATTTTTAAATCAGAATTAGTTTTGAAATCAGTGATTAAAGACCCTAAG